TCAGGCTTCAGCCTGACAATGCCACAACATATATTAACCACCAGGGCAGCACCTGAAGTCTTGCGGTTCAGGCAAAGGTGAACCACATTCTGTCTGGGACAGAACAGCATGTGTCGTCTCTGTTGGCAGTTTATATTCTAGGTATAGAGAACTGTTAGGGTTTTTTCCCCACAGGTCAGCGGTTGATACTGGGCGAGTGGTCCCTGTATCCCGAGATGGGGAAACCTGGATGTGAATCTACTGACTTCCAGGTTCTACAATAAGTTAGATTGTGTCCAGGATGGGAGTCCCATTGGCATTAGCGGTAGATGCACTGGTAACCCCTTAGGGACCTGTTTCCATTAGTCTGTCTTCCCCCGATTCAACTAGTGATGTGTCCTTTGCACAGGATCTGGGAGGAGGTAACACTGATTAATAGTGGTAGCCGGACCTAGCCCAGGAGGGCTTGATACACCAACAGGGTTTATTTGGCAGGGGATGCTCCTTGGATGCTTACAGTCTGCCCAGACCTATTATATTGGCTCCAATAATGTATCCTGCTTTCTGGTTGCTAGGATTGAAGTCTTGGCTATATTAAGCCTAGGTCTGGTAAGATCGGGGGGTTGGGTCCTGTTTTTTCCACACTGTTGAGCACCAGGAAGCCAGCTTCAGGGAGCTTCCATTATAGGACCTGTAAATCTGATTTGCCTGGGGTGAAGCCAGATAGTGGCATCCACAGAAATGTGTGGTTCAAGGGTTTATTTCCTTTTTGCTATCAGGAGGGGAAATGGAATTGACCTTAGAGCCAAAACCTGACCCTAAATGGCATTTATCCATTTTTTCCCAGAGACCGTTGTTTCTCACTCCTTGATTCATACTTCGAGCAGGATTATTGTTATAGAGGATTTATATAGCTCCAACAGTTTGTATTGTAACTGTAATGTCTACCTTCATTTTGTAAAACACTGTGCAATTTGGTACAAGAGGAAACAGAGGGCCCTGCTCATTAGAGCTTACAATCTAGGATGTAACATAGGTTACAGGCCAAGTTTCAGTGTTAGCTAATTTTTTCCAGAGCCCATTGCATCTCACTCTCTAGTTCGTACCTTTTTGCATGGAGTAATGCGTTTAGCTCCGCCTGTTAAGTTTTTCGTTCTTGGGACTTGAGCTTGGCATTGGAGGTTTGCAGAGACCACTGTCTGAGCCCATTTGAGAGATTCTGCTAGTCCTGTTGGCCTGGAAGGTTTTGTTTCTAGGAGCATTCACTTCTGGGAGTCAGGGCTGGCAGTTCTGTCTTGTAAAGAACCTTTTTCTGGTTTTGCATCAGAATAAGGTGGTGTTGTGACGTCAACCATTTTTTTTTTTTTTTTTTTTTTTTTTTTTTTTTTTTTAATGTGTTTTCTAGTTTTCATCTCCATCAAGACATTGTTCTGCCTTCTTTCTTTCTTGGACTTCAGTCAGCAAGAGAGAGATATGGTTGGATATGGTACGCACAGTAAGGGTCTTCCAGAAATTGATAGCACAGGTCAGGAAGTTGGATGCTCTGTTTGTGCTGCCTGATGGGCCCAGGAGGGGTAAGGCGACATCCAAGGCAACTATTTCACATTGGATTCGCCACTTGATCATTCAGACCTGTGGTTTGAAGAGTAACGTCCCACCCTTTCGGGTGAGAGCACATTCTACCAGGAGGGTGGGGACATCTTGGGCAGTCCGCCATCAGGCGTGAGTTTCTCAGATTGGCAAGGCCGCTACATGGACTTTGGTTCACCTATTCACAAGGTGGATGTGAGTGCCGCAGAGGACTCTTCCTTTGGCCACAGCATCTTGAGAACGGCTGAATAGATCTTGTGGGATTGTTGCGGTGGCTATCATGGCGTCACCCCTCCTTTAAAATTTCTTTGGGGACATTCCACAGTCATGAATAGCATGCCCTGTGTCTCGTGATGTACGATAAAGAAAATTGGATTTTTTCCACATACTTACCTGTAAAATCCATTTCTTGGAGTACATCGGGACACAAAGGTCCCTACCCTCTTTTTGGATTTTCATTGCTTGCAACAAAAACGGAAGTACTTCCTGTGTAGGAGGGGTTATATAGGAGAGGACTTCCTCTGGTTGGTTAGTTTCCATTCACCTATAGGTGGCATATAACATAGACATGAGTAGCCTGCTCTGTGTCCCATGCTGTACTCCAAGAAATGGAATTTACTGGTATTTAGAAAAAAAAAATAATAATTTTTATTTGTCTTAGACCAGACCTACAAAAATATTCTTATCACTGAATCTATCAGTAGGGGATCTATTTGCTGATCCCCTGCTTTTAGAGCAGGCAGATGACAGTTTCGTGTCTTCAGTTTTTACAGAGCAGACATGGACAGAGGCCACCTAGATCAGGGGTCTCCAAGCTTTTCAAACAAAGGGCCAGTTTATGGTCCTTCAGACTTTAAAGCGGAGCTCCATCCAAAAGGGGAAGCTCCGCTTTAAGTCTTTGTCCCCCGCTTCCCATTAAGGATTGGCACCTTTGGGAAGCGGGTACCCGAATTTGACAGGTACTCGCTCCCACTTCTGCTGCGATCGCCTGAGGTGAGCGGAAGTTGTCCTCCCACAAATCCCCCCCATAGACTTATAGTCTTCTGGGACACGTGACAGGTCCCAGAAGACTTCAGGGCCATTCACAAAGCACAGCTCTTCTCGCGCATGCACAGTGGGCACTCAGCTGTGAAGCCGCAAGCTGTCACTGCCGGGTGCCCACACTAAAGATGCCGGCGACAGGGAGAGAATGGCCAGTGAAACCAGCGGTGGTGAGGACACCGCTGGACCAAGGGACAAGTAAGCGTCTGTCTATATTTTAAAAGTCGGCAGCTACAGTTTTTGTAGCTGATGACTTTTATTTATTTATTTTTCAGCTAGAACTCCGCTTTAAGAGAGCCGGAGTGTGGCCAGTGGGGGTAGAAAATGTGTTGGGCCCAGCATCAGTGAGAATAAACATGGCCTCAGGGATGGTGGTCAGTAGGAGGAAGAGTATTGCCCCATCATTGGTATTAATGGTATTAATTGTACCACATAAGTGTTATTAATAGTGCCCCATTGTTTGTGTCGGTGGGATGAATACTGCTTCATATCATTGGGAAGAATAGTGCCCCAAGGGCCGGATAAAGGCTAGCAAAGGGCCACATCTGGACCTCGGGCTGCAGTATGGAGACCCCTGGCCTAGATGAAACAAGTCCGTTTACACCCACCGGTCCATAAGGGTGAAAAACCTGATCGGGCCTGTGACAGTGTGTGGCTTCAGACCCCAGCCCTTTTCACCAACTTGTGACCGAAGGACCAGCCGATCTCACACCGCGCTGTCACTGCATAACAATGCCACTCTCAGCTGCACCCTGCACAAAGATTTTCCAGCTTGCGGGACCACAATCTATGTGCCAGCAGCCTGAGAGCGATTGTTACTGGGTCAGGTTAATTACGCAATTAACCCTTCACACTGCCACCACCACCTTTTTACAGAGGAGGAAACTCACAAATCTTAGCAGTAACACTATAATATTAGTATAAGCGCCTGTAACACACTGTTACCACAGACAGATGTTTTCAGAGGATTATTACATACAGTAGCACTCTTCAGAGACACGGATTCTTTAGTTTGCATTAAAAGCTTTAGAGACAGTTCACTTTTCAGAAAATAGGATTTATTACTAAAAAGGTCAAAATGGTGCAATTAAAATATTTCCAGAAAAAGATGTAACAAACATATAAAGAGAGCAATAAAACAACAGAGAAATAAAAGAAGTTCAGAAGGAAGAATACTTGCAAAAGTCCTTGGTTTGAGCAGAGTCCAATTGTCCGAACAAAACGCTGCTTTGGCTCTCAAGTCTTAGGTGGTTCCTGATTAAAGTTAAAAGGAGAGCTCTCTTTCTCCAGGCTGTCAGTCTTTCTATCATTTTAAAGGGATGTCTCCTGAGAACAAATGGCCTATCATCCCATTTGGGGATGGGTGTTAGGCGCTAACCAAGGTTATGACCAAATCCCTTACAAGTTCATACTAAGGTCAATAACCTTCAATAGGTACAGGTAGCATCCGAGCAACCGGCAGATCAATATTTAGAATTATGTTCCGAACGCACAGATACCAATCTTAGCATTTCTTTGCCACTCCGGATAAAAAGAGACTGCTTATTTTCTTTTGTAGGTGCTAACCTAGGGATGTAAGGTGTCATGTGACTCATATTAAAATGACATCAGAATATGTACTTCATATTAAGGTGCTCAGTTCCTGCTGAAGTTTATGAAGTTGTATGAAAAATGACTCGTGTAGAATGTACGTTTTATGGCACACTCTAGCTCTAAGGGCCTAACAGGTCATGACTGTCTGAGTTATTGTTTTACGATTCGGCAGAGGAAAATGGTTTTCAAGCAGACCCCCTGGGACCAGACTAATAAGTGGTTTACAGCCCTGGAGTTTATCTAGGTGTGTTGTAGATAAGAGGCACTTTTGACCTCTGTTCACTTACAGACCCACATTCCGTTCAAAAGGGAGGACAGGAGAGACCACATGGCCACGACCTAACAAGATGGCTTGTCATGTACAGTGTCCATGCCTCTATTTCGCACAATCATCACAGGGCCCTTTATGTGAAAGGGGCTTAAGACTGTTAGGGTCTGTGGCAGATTTGTTTTGCTGTCGAAAAAAACACTTCTGCTCTCTGCTAAAGGGAACCATTATGAGAAGGATAAAATCTCACCATTGGCATAGATAAGGAGCCTCTTTGCCAAGAGTGGTCAGAAGCAGCTTTCTCTGCAGCAAAGGAAGCTGGAAACGTGGTCCAGAATAGACCTACTTTGCAAGACAATGTAGTTGTATACTAATTTCATACAGTAATGTGTATTGAGGCAGTTTTGCACAGTGTAATTCTAAGCATGTACCTATGGACCTTAATCAGCATGATGGGTTAATTTACATTTCATATGCCATTGCCTTAATACACTAACATTAATCTTAACAATATTGATTGTATTTGTAGGAGTGTGACCAGGTTCACGTGGAAGATGTGTCATCTGATGATAATGGTCAAGATTTAAGGTAGTATGCTGTGTGGTAAATGGATTCTCTTTTAATATTTCATACATTAGAAAGAAACTTTGATTAATGACCATGAAACCAGAGAAGAATGTTGCTTTTCAGTTTCTTCATCTATCTCTGGAGAAAGACAAAAGGATGTGCTCCAGCCACCGTGCGACCACTGAGCAACTTCAAAACTCGAACATGATTTTTTTTTTTCTTTGATATATTCAGAAATAGATTGCATTATTTCCATTTTCTGTTCAACCTTTTTCCTGGTATGTTATATAATATAGAAGTCTCGTTTAGACTACCATTAGTCCCTTGTTAAGAGACCACAGTACCCAAAATCAAGTTACATTATTATTTGTTTGTGTTCTGAGAAAGTTACTAATAACTTTTACAGGTAGGGACACGTGTCAATGGCTTCAATTTGAAGTCCGTTTGAGACATTTCTGACATCATTCAGAATTCATTAACAGGTGTATTTGACCTGCAGTTGATCTCTTTGTAACTTCCATTTGACTTGCTTTAACACCCTGATCACACCGGGTGTGACTTGCTATGTGATTTGCCAATTGTCTGCAATTAAAGCAGTCATGCACGCACTACTTCAAGTGCGACTTGCATAGACATCTAGGCAAGTCTTACCTCAAGTCGGAATGGCATCTGACTTTGAAATCGTGCGACTTCCAGGGAAGTTGCACTATTTCAAAATCGGATCGGTGTGACCAGGGGGTAAGCAGGATTTGCATTACCATAGACTTGTATGGGAATACAGACCCACTTGTAGGGAACAAAAGCCCATTGACACAGTCCTTAAATGTTATATCCATGACACATGCACATGATAAACATAAAATGGAGATTGCCTGAGCATAAACCAGTCTCAGTATCTTTTAGAAGGCTACTGGGATGTGGAATATTGCAAACATTATAGAAGTATTAAATATTTCTAGTAAATTATATGTTTAAGTCTGTGTTATGTCTTACAGCAACCTTGTCAGTAAGTGCAGCAAATTAAACTAAGATTAGCCTTTAATCACTTCAAATCTGGACTTTTTTTTACCCCCTTCCAGTCCAGGTCAATTTCCAGCTTTCGCAGCTCTCACACTGAATGCCAATTACTCAGGCATGCAACACTGTACCCAAATGAAATTTTTTATAATTTCTTTTGAGACAGACCGCTTTCTTTGGGTGGTATTTATTCACCAATGTTGTTTTTTTTTTTTTTTTTTTTTTTTTGCTGTATAAATGAAAAAAGACAAAATTTGGGGGAAAAAATTTGTTTTTCTTCTAAAATTTTGCAAATATATAATCTTTCTTCATAAATCTAGGCTAAAATGTACTGTTACCTTTTTGGTAAAAATAACTCAAATCTGTATATACAGTTAGGTCCATACAATTTGTTTTGCTATACAATGTTTTTTTTTTTTTCAGGTATTTACCAAATCATATTCAAGCTATAGTTATATAATGGATATGGGCTAAAAGCGCACAACCTCAGGTTTAATTTGAGGGTATGTACATCCAAATTGGAGGAGGGGTTTAGAAATTACAGCTCTTAAGAGTAGCCATCAACCTTTTTCACGGAGCCAAAAGTAATTGGACAATTGAATCAAAAGCTGTTTCATGGCTAGTTGTGGGCTACTCCATTATTTCTTCATCATTTAAACAGGTAAAAGGTCTGGAGTTGATTCTAAGTGATATTTGGAATCTGTTGCTGTGAACCTACATCATGCGTTCAAAGGAGCTGTCCATGCAAGTGAAACAGGCCATTGTAAGGCTTCAAAAACTAAACAAATCCATCAGAGAGCTAGCAGCAACATTAGGAGTGGCCAAATCAACAGTTTGGTACATTCTGAGTAAAGAAGAACGCGCTGGTGAGCTCAGCATCATAATAAGGCATGGACGTCCACAAGAGACAACAGTGGTGGATGATTGCAGGATCCTCTCTATGGTAAAGAAGAACCCATTCTCACAGACCAGTGAAGGACACTTTCCAGGAGGTGGGCATATCATTGTCAAAGTCTACAATCAAGAGAAGACTTCACGAGAGCAAATAGAGGGTACACCACAAAGTGCAAACCATTCATAAGCCTGAAGAAAAGAAAAGCCAGATTAGTACTTTGCCAAAAAAAAATCTAAAAAAAGCCAGACCAGTTCTGGAAAAGCATTCTTTGGACGATGAAACTAAGATTAATCTGTACCAGAATGACGGGAAGAAAAAAGTGTGGAGAAGGCTTGGAACCGCTCATGATCCAAAGCACATGTTGTCATCTGTAAAACATGGTGGAGGCAGTGTGATGGCATGGCCATGCATGGCTTCCAGTGGCACTGTCATTGGTATTGATATTGATGTGACAAAAGACAGAAGCAACAGGATGAATTCTGCAGTGTTTAGAGAGATACTGTAAACCCACATTTGGCCAAATGCAGCAATGTTGATTGGCCGGCGAATCACAGTACAGATGGACAATGATCCAAAACACACTACAAAAGCAACGCAGGAACTTTTGAAGGAAAAAAGGTAGAATATTCTGCAATGGCCGAGTCAATCACCTGACTCAACCCAATTGAGCATGCATTTCACTTGCTGAAGGCAAAAAGACCCACAAACAAAGAACAACTGAAGGCAGCTGCAGTTAGTCTGGCAAATCATCAGAAAGCAGGAAACCCAGTCTTTGGTAATGTCCATGGGTTCCAGACTTCAGGCAGTCATTGCCAGTAAAGGATTCTCAACAAAATAATAAAAAAGAACATTTTATTTATGATTATATTCATTTGTCCAATTACATTTGAGCCCCTGAAAATGGAGGACTGTGTATAAAAATGCTTGCAGTTCCTAAAATTTGTACTTGATATTTTTATGTTTAACCCCTTGAATTAAAGCTGAAAGTCTGCACTTCAAATTCATTTGGAGTGTTTCATTTTAATTCTGGTGGCATACAGAGCCAAAAGTATGGAAATTGTGCCTGTGTCCAAATATATATGAACCTAACTGTAGGAAAAAAAAATATAATTTTCTTATTACATTTTCTATTTGCTTATGTGTATATATATATATATATTTTTTTTTTTTTACATACATTCACCCTAGCAGTACAGCGTCACCATAGTGACACTGTACTACCTTTTTAAGGGGTGATGTTGTTGTTTTTTTTTTTTTTTTTTAACACTGTGATTGCTTATACATCCCTGCTGGCTGCAAAAGCAATCACTTTTCACTCTTTCTGGCTGCATTCTTGCAGCCATTGAGAAATACTGTGAGAGCTAATATTGGTCATAGCTTATCACATGGTACAAGGCTGCTGTGAATGGCCTTGTACTGTGTGATCGATCAGAGATCACAGTAGAAAACGATGCCAGGAAATGACATCTTGTACCTCCTATGCATGTGATTAGCCAGTCAGCGATCACATGGTACAGGGGCCGCCCACAGCAGCCCGATACAGCAATCAGTATTCTACTGTGTCTTCCCAAGGAGCACGCACAGGCGGTGGATGCGAGGGGGTGCATTTTGCGCTGCTCTTGTCCAGCTATTTTGCGCTGCTCCCGTCGTCCAGCCATTTTGCGCTGCTCTTGTCCAGCCATTTATGTGGATGGACCAGATGGGAAGAGGTTTAAAAGAAGAACATAAATACTTGTACCCGACTCATGTCCTAAAACACCATCATGTTGCAAATTTCTGGCCTTAGCAGAAATCCAACACTTTTGGGTGTGTTAAATACTTGCTCCACTGCCATGTGTTGTGATTTCTCCCGCTGGCTCTTTTGACATTACTGACCACAGGAGCCAGCAGGACAACCTATATCACATGGTTGAGGTGTAGGTATTCATCACGCCCAGGGGTGTTGGATACCTGCAGAGGCCCGAGATCCAGACCAGAGTGGAGTAATAGGACGTGAGCAGTCAATGTTTATCTTTTTCTTTTAAATGCTGGGCTTAGTTTAATTTGCTGCCACAGAAAGAAAAGTGTTTATCTTCCTCTTTGACAGGCTGAGCTTCATTTAATTCATTCCACTTACTGACAGGGTCACAATAAAATATCTATTTTTCCCCATTTGTTTTCCAATTTGATCCAGTAATTACAACTTTACAACCGACGGATTTAATGGGACAGCAGGAAACCGAAACCTCAACTCAAATAGTGGTGTCCAAGGTGGGATGGACTGGATGAGAAAGTTGGCATTTCGATATAGGAGAGTAAATGAGGTTTATGAAAAATACAAGAGTAACGTTGGGGGTGAGTGAACTGTGTGTAATGTTTTCATAGGAAGTCAATTAGGTTTATGAAAAATAAGAGCAATGTTGGGGATGAATGAACAGAGTATGATTCTATATATTTCATAACAACCTTGTCATTTGTTTGAATGATAAAATGTAACAAGTATCATAATTGTTCATGTACTAATCACAGTCTAGCTTGACTTCAGGTTTATAGTTATGGTCCGGAAAATGAAATTTAACAATGTTTTTTTCAATGTGAAAATGGAATTGTTAAAGTGGTTGAAAACTTTTACATTACTCGGTAAAGTGACTAGTATCAGGTGATACACAGAGATTAAACAAATTCTCCTACATAAGTTGTAACTGTTTAATTAAAGCTCTTTCTTCACTGCAGCTTTCTAAAGCACCCATTTTACACAGCATCTCTCAGCTCTTAAAAGCAGGAGGCAGGGATATGAAGTTTCACACTGCAGAGCTCAGAGACTCGTGATTGGAGGGACCCTTCCTCAGTACACACACACAGTACAGAATACATGCACAGCTGTGGCTGACAACCACAAGCTGTGTGCTGGAGCTCTCCTTCCCGGTCACTAATCTCTTGGAGTAAAAAAAAAACACTGTCAGAATTGACTTATACAGATAACAGAGGAAGGCGACAGCAGAGAGAAATCACACTCCATGCTTTGGATGGATACAAGTACACATTATAGAAGGATGTGCTTTGCGCATATTGCATGTCTGAGGTTTAAAACCACTTTAAATCAATAAAGTAATGTGACCAGAGCTTCTTCATTAGATGTATACTGTACACCTAAAAAGAGAAAGCAGGAAAAAAGGATCTGGTCTACTAGTGGAGTGATATTGTCTTTGGGACACTCATCAGATCATATGCTCTAGGATTGAACGTTTAGACTCTTACGTTCAGTAAGGTCAATTTTTTTTGACACTTTAGTATTTCTGATGTATATCACTTTGTGAGTTTCATTTTATTGAATATAACTTTAAAGGGGCCTGTCAGTAGTGGACAGCAAATGTTCAAGCTGCCGTTTCATGCATTTTCTCGAAAACTTATTTATGAAGTAGTGAAACACTTTTAAAAACAAGTCAGTGGTAGACCTTCAATGTTTTTATACACTGATTAAAAAGTGTTCCTTTAATTTTTTTGAGCAGAGTATAGCATCAAGTCAATTAAACTCCTGGGATGCTGATCTGGTTAGTTAAGTAGCAGAGGTGAATGTTAATTTCAGCTGCTTTACTGTTAATTAAATTAACAACATGTGCACCAGATGGCAATAATGAGGCAATCTCCAAAACAGGAATGGTTTTACAGGTGGAGGCCACTGACATTGTTTTCTCATCGTTTCTGACTGTTTTTCACTAGGTTTGCATGTGGCTAGGGTCATGTCAGTACTGGTAGCATGAGGCGATACTTACCCTACAGAGGTTGCACAGGCAGTTCAACTCCTCCAGGATGATACATCAATATGACATTGCCAGAAGGTTTGCTGTGTCTCCCAGCACTGTCTCAAGAGCATGGAGGAGATTCTAGGAGACAGGCAGTTACTCTAGGAGAGCTAGACAGGGCCGTAGAAGGTCCTTAACCCATCAGCAGAACTATTATCTGCTTCTTTGTGCAAGGATGAACAGGATGAGCACTGCCAGAATCCTACAAAATGACCTCCAGCAGGCCATGGTCTGAATGTCTGACCAAACAATTAGAATCAGACTTCATGAGGGTGGCCTGAAGGCCTGACGTCCTCTATTGGGCCCTGTGCTCACTGCCTGGCACAATAGAGCTCGATTGGAATTTGCCATTGAACACCTGAATAGGCAGGTCCGCCACTGGCACCCTGTGCTTTTCACAGATGAGAGCATGTTCACCCTGAGCACATGTGACAAACGTGAAAGGGTCTGGAGAAGCTGTGGAGAATGTTATGCTGCCTGTAACATTGTTCAGCATGATTGTTTTGGTGGTTTGCCAGTGATGGTCTGGGGAGGCATATCCATGGAGGTACGCACAGATCTCTACAGGCTAGACAATGGCACCCTGACTGCCTTTAGGTATCGGGATGAAAACCTTGGACCCATTGTCAGACCCTACACTGGTGCAGTGGTTCCTGGGTTCCTCCTGGTGCATGACAATGCTCGGCCTCATGTGGCGAGAGTATGCAAGTAGTTCTTGGAGAATAAAGGAATTGATTCCATTGAATGGCCCTTTTGCTCGCCTGACCTAAATCCAATAGAACACCTCTGGGATATCATATTTCGGTCCATCCGACGTTGCCAGGTTGCAACTCAGACTATCCAGGAGCTCAGTGATGCCCTGGGCCAGATCTGGGAGGAAATACCCCAGGACACCATCTGTCGTCTCATTAGGAGCATGCTTTGACGTCAGGCTTGCATACAAGCACGTGCACTGAGTACCGTTTTGAGTTGCTGCAATGAAATTTCAGCAAAATGGACTAGCCTGCTGCATCATTTTTTCACTTTGATTTTTGGGGTGTCTTTGAATTCAGTCCTCTATAGGTTGATAATTTCCATAAAACGATGGGCCATCCTTACATTCCTAACACATTACCCAGTCCATATAAGTATAGAATCCAGCATGGTATTTTCCCCCATTGAGATCTAATGTGTTTTCAAAGTGTTCCTTTAATTTTTGTGAGCAGTGTACTATTTAATGCCATTTAAATATTTTTAAAGCAGTGTTCCCTGCTTATTACATGTACTCCAGAAGATTTACTGGTTTGGCTCTTTCCAGATCAATAAATCACCATTACAAGAAACTCTTAAAAATACTTTTTGTTCAATTACCAATAAGTATAATCACCACTCTAAGGGTATATTAATGTGTGTTACCACATCATTACTTGTAATCTATATATTCCTATAGTGCCGCACAATCCACCCTACAAAATGTAGTCCCCATCATCAGTTGTTTAAAAAATAAATAAATAAATAACCAGTATGCTGTAAAATACAGTATATGTAACCCCATAATATATGTAACAATTGTTTCTAATGTTGACATAAAGTATAGAGAATATAAAAATAAAGTCCAACTTGTTAATTTAACCACACAGTGTCTGTGAAGAACTCAAGTGCAATAATCCAGTAATTGTGACTTCCACATGTTCAACCACCTAACACCATATGCTCTCGCCTAAAAGAATGTTCCTATGTGAAAAAAATAGGTCTATGTGCATTTTCCCATTTTAAGAGGTTTATAACTATTCCCAGGCATGAGGATTTCTCATCGCACCTGTTCTCCTCCTGATTCCTCAGGTCAAGTTGAAACCATCCACGTCCTCCCTACAGAAGACTCAAGTATATAGCTTACAAAAATACTTTCACTGTGCTTATTACTTGATTAAAAGTACTATTTATTTATAAATAACAAATACACACTCACTTGGGGCAGTGCACTGCCATATAGTTATCATTGCTCTACATTTATTTTGCACTTATATTGTTGACAACGACTTGCTAGTAATATAGACCACTTGAGTACGGTTTAATTAACATTGCCATACAGTTGTCATTGCTCTACATTTGTCATAGGCTTCACCCCTACACATTTAATCATGGTTTTTCCTCTTGACATAAATGAAATAAAATGAAATAAAACTTTTCTGTAATCCCTCTAATACACTCCCATCATCTCCCTTCATACATAAGATAATAAATACAATATTGTATATGTATGTATAAGTGTCCAAGCAAAAGTCCACACAAAATATTCTTCCAAGTGTTGAAAACCAATCCAGTTCGTAGCTTTTCCATCCAAGATACCTCAAAAAAATATAAACTAAATATAGTGCATTATCTTTAAAACAAAACAAAAACACTCGTGACACTTAAAGTGACTCCTCCTAAACCCACACTCGTGAGAAACCACCACTTCAGCTTGTGATTAGTGCAAAATTCCAAAAACAGTGTCACCACTCAAATATAGTTAAATACCATTACCCTCTCATGGATAATGGAACTTCACAACCATTCCATATTAATCCACATCAAACTACTCGTGATCACATGCATCAAACATAAGTAGTGCCACAACTCTTGCAGGATAATATACCATTACCCTCTTTCAATATAAAAAGGCATAAGACTCCTCCAGGGTTATCCGTGACTTCCCCTTTCCTGAAGTGCCCAATCCGGACTTCCCCGCTCCTCAGAAGGGCAGAGAAGACAATACTCAGTGGAATATATAAATAGAAATCCGTAATTTTATTTTCAAGCTTACATCAGGTAAAAAGAAACGTCCATCCTCTCCAACAGTTCGTGTGACTGAACTCCAGTATCCAAGATGGCCACGCCACGTCAGGGATGTGACGTCAGAACCTCAAACCGGAAGGAGTGGCGCGGCCATCTTGGACACTTATACATATACAATATTGTATTTATTATCTTATGTATGAAGGGAGATGATGGGAGTTTATTAGAGGCATTACAGAAAAAGTTTTATTTCATTTTTGCACTTTCAGGGGTGAGAGTGGTATTTTTTGTAGGGATATATAGAGTTTACATATTTTATTTTCCTCTTGACAGTCACATGGCCTATAACAAACCATGCAGGGGTGGAGCCAATTACATCATCATACATACCTGGAAGTGGAGTCTTTGGTTATTACATTGAGCTTGATCTGAAATCACCTTAAGGGGGCAACACAATTTGATGTACTTTTATACAGAGGTGCACTTGATCAGTGGTCTCCAAACTGCCGCCTGGAGACCAGATATGGCCCTTTGCTTGTCTTTAACCCGCCCCTGGGGCACTCTTCTTATCACTGATACAAGACCGCATTCCTCCCAATGACACCAACGATTGGGCACTATTCCTCCCACTGACACCAATGATTGGGCACTATTCCTCCCACTGACACCAATGATTGGGCACTATTCCTCCCACTGACACCAATGATGGGCCACTATTCTTCCCACTGACACCAATGATTGGCCACTATTCCTCCCACTGACACCAATGATGGGCCACTATTCTTCCCACTGACACCAACGATGGGGCACTATTCCTCCCAATGATACCAATGATGGGGTACTATTCCTTCCACTAATACCAACATCTGGCCCCCCTAAAGTCTGAAGGACAGTAAACTGGCCCTTTTGTTTCTAAAATATGGAGACCCCTGCACTAGGTGATGGTGCACTGTTCCAAATAATTGTGTACATGTTCGGTAATTAAACATAGGTATAGGACATTGAAATGAGAGAGGCCATCCTAACAGCTATGATTGGTGGTGGTAAATGAAGAGCCATTCGAGCAGAACAAATATAGAGCTATGGCAATGTTAGTTAAACAGTACTCAAGTGGTCTTTATTACTAGTAAGTCATTGCCAACAATATAAGTTATAAGAATTCATCATGTAGTCCACAGAACCAAAGAGCAGATCGTTGGCCAATTCAGTGTTAATCGTGCCAGAATCACACAGCAGAAGAAAAAAAGAAGAGCAGAAGAGAAAAGACGGGGGGGGGGGGGGGGGGTTTCACAGGTTTCCTTTGTCAAAAATTCCAGTCGCTCAGCAGAGTTCTACTATATCCAGGGCTGTTAGTTCAAATTTGGCTCAAATTTAGCTTGAGCATCATTCAGTACACAAGACAACCCTTAGTTGATTGTGATACAGTTGAGTTGTGTTTGGCTAGTTTGATGGAAACCATAGGTTTTCTCCGACTTCGAGCAATTAGCTATTAGGAGAATTTATATTATACTGGCCAATACCTTTTGGGCATGTCAAAGAAATAATGCCACTGCAGGCGACCTTTTAAGGTTAATGGAGGATGAGCAAATAATCAAGGAAACACTTTATCCCAAAATCTTTGTACTTTTGGATGTGACTACCAGATATGCATCATAGATCCTTCCTTTAACAGCCCCTAAAGCAATGATATGAAGCTAGTGGAGCACATTTTGCAACCCTGGTGGGAACCAAATACCATCTTAACAGCACCTTGTAGTTAGCTGCCTCCAAATGTGTTTTAGAGATAATTGCAGCTTTGCTATCTATGGTAATTTTATAGCATTCAACTGTAACATATCTTGGATACCAGAAATGAGACGTTTTAACCGCTTCAAGATTTTTACACAAGACCTCCAATGGAGCATAGCCAAGGTTAGATTTGTGGTGTGGTTAAAATTATGTAAAAAAAAAAATATTAAGTTTTACAATTGATATGGCACCACCATAAACCTAGAATTGAAATCTACACCCCTTTTCATAGTAGGGCTCAGGGTGAACTGAGTGTCCCACAACTCCAGAAACACTATCAAGCTGCCACTTCTAAAACCCAACTTTGGGTCTCTTTGGAAGCGATCGATTGCAAATCCCTACACATAGATTTGCTATTGCTCCTCCTAAGGCACAGGGCTTGGCTACATAAACCTATTACAGTGCATTCCCTGCAAATATGGGATGATCTTAAATAATCTGGGCTCCTCCAATCTCCTCACTTACCTATACAGTCGTTTTTCCATAACCCCTCTTTCCCCTGAGCTTAGAGGATCCTCATATTTTTTAAACAATGGTCACAACGAAAGGTTATATGCTTACAATCTCTTTGACGGATGGTGTTAAATTGTTTCAAGCTCTCCAAAATGACTATTCATTCCATACCTAATTCTGCCAGAACCCTCACTTTCTTCGAACTTAGATGCAGGGATGACTCCCATTCCTTGGGCATTATCTCCCTATGTATAACAGAGAATTGACACCTAGAAATACAGACAACCAAATGTTTTAGAAGTTAAAAAAAAAAAAAAAAAAAAGTCTCATTTTAAATCCATCGTCATTCATGATGCCTGATGAACCTGCGCATGTGATCAATCTTGATAGTACTAACCAAATGACAGCTCTCCAAGCTGTCATGAGCTATATAAGGGAAGGCGCATGGATGGTACTGACCAAATATGGCCATTGATGTTACTGCTGTTCCCACCCCTTTGTTCCAGTGGTGTCTGTAGTTCCTAGGGATGTGGGAAATTCTCCTATGTATGATTTTTGGCCCTCGCAGAACTGGGCTGAATGCACGAACAGTCAAATTTTCATTCCAAATCACATTCTTAGAAATCAAGCAAGAGGGCACAAATACAGCGTGTGATAATTTGAGTATTTCTTCTGTGCAGAAATAACAAGTGTAATCTTTAATTGAGGGGGTTTTTCTTCCTCCTGATACAACAGTCCCACCAACATATGGCTGAATTTTGAAAGATATTCATGTTGAGTCCTTGGGGTTTTATCAAGTACTTGGTCCAGTGCTAAATTAAAGCCCCCACTAAAAAACAACACCCACTACTTGGGGAATTAATGTTGAGAATAATTGTGTGAAGAAGTTGATTTGGTTCTGGCTTGAGGTGTAGTAAATATTAATGGTAATTAAATTGTCTCCCATCTTGCCCAAAAGTAGAATGCGTCTTCCCTCAGGATCTCTTATAACCAATTCCACTTTTAGTGTTACTGTTAATGAGAGAAACAAATTAATACCCCTCTTTTCTTGGCAGTTGGTGACATATTTAGTAGAGAATCTTTCATGGAGATGAGATGGACAGCTTTTAGTAGAAAAGTGGGTTTCTTGTAGTGATAGAATGTGCACCCAAAGAGTTGAATTGCTGAAAAGATTTGCTGCTCTTTACTTAGGAATCCCTGAACATTGTGGTATAGAATCCTATAAACAAGCCTAATGAATTTTAGATACAAATGCTGCTTAGAAGAGAGCTTATTTACATAATGTGCAAGAAAGTGTTTTTTTGGCTTTTCACAGAGCCCTTTATTTGAGGTAACTATTGAAGGTATTTAACATTTATTTTTTTCCTTTCACAGGATTACTCAGCCCACAGAGGCGAGACTCTCTCCAGAGACTTAGAGATGATATAGAGACATTGACAGATGGCTGGTTAGGCACTGCTATGAAGTGTTTACAACTCATTCAAGCAAGGTAACCAAGAATACTTTTTGTATTTTCTTTTAATAGTTTATTGACCAAAGGATAGGTTGTACATATATAGTATATAACATGCTTTTACCTGATATATTAAGATGCAGTGATACAATCCAAAAAATGGATACATTGGGTCTATTGTGTCAATATAGAAAGAAAGAGCTTATATGTGGACCCATCAATAAAGCAGAGTTGTGCCATGAAACAATTTTCTGACCAGTCAATATAGAGTCAACAATTTTATAATTTGGCAACAGGTACAGGAAAAGGTAAAAAGAAAAGGGGAGGGCACTTTTTGTGCTTTCTGTACAAAATTTACTTTATTTTATAGTTGAAGCCAAACTCCTCGTATGGATTATTTTGGATAGTTAATATTGGCTTAGCTTGGACAAATATAAGTATACATATTCCATACCTGGGCAATTTTTTTGGAAGCAGAAAATCACTTAGTAGCCTCCGCTACTACAGTGATTCTTGCTGTTCTCTGGGACCTGTGCTGAACAGCTGCCTTGCTGCATAGTAACTACGTGGGGTTGCCCGCTTGAGAAGGGCACCATTCAGAGATCAACTTGCATTTTTCTCAGTGAATGCAAAGCCTCCTCTGATTGGATGAGGTGGATAAGGGGGCAGTGCTGTCATGATCACCACCTCATCCAATCAGAGAAGGCTTTGTGTTCACTGAGAAAAATGCAAGTTGATCTCTGAATGGTGCCCTTCTCAAGCGGGCAACCCCATCCACGGAATCCGGAAGACAGAGAGGATCACTTAGTGAGCAGTGGCTACTACAATGGTTTTCTGCTTGCGCATGAATACTACAGGTATGGCACATGCATACTTACATTGGTCCAAGCTGGAGTAATATCACTATGCAAAAAACCAAACCTGGAATTAAGCTTTAATTTCTGTTTGTTCCATATTGTTGATGTTCAGGCTGGAGCCGGGTTCACACTGCAGCTAACAGGAACCGCAGCGCATTACTGTGCAATTCACATGTGATTCTGTGTGGTGTGATTTAAGCCTATTCATATTTAAAGCAGAAATCATTGATAGCTTTTTAGTGCATTTCTCTACTTCACTCTTAAAAAGATTTATATATGTATATATTTTGCACTGTTTTCATTTTAGGAAGAACTGTGTTAATGTGTTAATAACTACAACACAGCTGGTTCCAGCTCTGGCCAAAGTTCTTCTCTACGGGCTTGGAGACGCGTTTCCAATACAGAATATATACAGTGCCACAAAAATAGGTAACATTACAAAGTGATTGAGTCCTGATCTCCTGTTGAAGTGGGTCTTGTTATTGTCTCTGTGTCCTGTTCCAGCATATACAGTTAGGTCCATATATATTTGGACACAGGCACAAATGTCATACGTTTGCCTCTGTATGCCACCAGAATAAATTAAAACGAAAGACTCCAAATTAATTTGAAGTGCAGACTTCCAGCTTTAATTCAAGGGGTTGAACATAAATATCAAGTACATATTTTAGGAACTGCAACCATTTTTATACACAGCCCCTCCATTTTCAGAGGCTCAAGTGTAATTGGACAAATGAATGTAATCATAAATAAAATGTTAATTTTTAATATTTTGTTGAGAATCCTTTACTGGCAGTGACTGCTTAAAGTCTGGAACCCATGGACATTACCAAAGACTGGGTTTCCTGCTTTCTTATGCTTTGCCAGGCTGTAACTGCAGCTGTCTTCAGTTGCTCTTTGTTTGTGGGTCTTTTTGCCTTTAGTTTTGCCTTCAGCAAGTAAAATGCATGCTCAGTTTGGTTGAGTCAGGTGATTGACTTGGCCATTGCAGAATATTCCACTTCTTTTCCTTCAAAAGCTCCTGGGTTGCTTTTGTAGTGTGTTTTTGGATCATTGTCCATCTGTACTGTGAAGCCCATCCAATCAACTTTGCTGCATTTGGCTGAATCTGGGCTGACAGAAGAAATCTGCAGTGTTTAGAGATATACGGTCTGCTTTTTCTTCTATCACATCATCAATAAACACCAATGACCCAGTGCCACTGGAAGCCATGCATGCCTCCACCATGTTTTACAGATGACGTTGTGTGCTTTGGATCATGAGCTGTTCCAATCCTTCTCCACACTTTCTTCATGTCATTCTGGTACAGATTAATCTTAGTTTCATCCATCCAAAGAATGCTTTTCCAGAACTGGTCTGGCTTTTTTAGATGTCTTTCGGCAAAGTCTAATCTGGCTTTTCTGTTCTTCAGGCTTATAAATGGTTTGCACCTTGTGGTGAAATCTCTGTATTTGCTCTTGTGAAGTCTTTTCTTGATTGTAGACTTTGAGTATGATACGCCCCCTCCTGGAGAGTGTCCTTCACTTGTCTGTATGTTGTGAATGGGTTTTTCTTTACCATAGAAAGGATCCTGCGATCATCCACTACTGTTGTCTTCCGTTGACATCCATGCCTTTTTCATGTGTTGCTGAGCTCACCAGTGAACACATGATGTAGGTTCACAGCAAGATTCCAAATGCAAATATCACACTTAGAATCAACTCCAGACCTTTTACCTGCTTAATTGATGAAGAAATAACGTAGGAGTAGCCCACACCTACCCATGAAACAGCTTTTGATTCAATTTTCCAATGACTTTTGGTCCCTTGAAAAAAAAAAGGGGGGGGGGGGGGGTGGCTACTTCTAAGAGCTGTAATTCCTAAACCTTTCCTCCTTCGATGTACATACCCTAAAATTAAACCTTAGAGTGTGCACTTTCAGCCCATATCCATTATATAACTATAGCTTGAATATGTTTTGGTAAATACCTGAAAAAACTAAAACTGTGCCTGTGTCCAAATATAAATGGACCTAACTGTAAATGTGATGCAGTTTACAATGTGATTGGTTTAACACCATGGTTTGTTTGTTCTTTTCCAATGTATTGATAATGATTGTATAGTGTGGAACAAATAATTTAGTAAGTTGTAAAATAGTGTTTAGGATAGAACTTTTTTCAGCCTGTTCGAATTTTTTCCCCTTCCTTTGCATTTTTTTCTGCTGCAGAATAAAATAATTGTGTACAACACTTTTAAAGCGATAACCCTAAAAAATTGCCAATACTATAACTGCTATTTAAATAGCTCCTTTCCAACAATGAAAAACTAGATAATTGTGTCAGACGTTCATGATTTTGTTGTATGGCAGAAAGTTTGTGGACACCTGGCCATCACATTTATAGGATCTGGTTGGTCATCCTATTCCAAAATAATGGACAGTAATATGGAGTGGGCTCCCCTTTGCACTCTCTAGTCTTCTGGGAAGGATTTCTAAAAGATTTTGTAGGAAGGTGTTCCACAAAATTTTGGAGCGTGTTTGTGGAAGTTTGTGCCCCTTTAGCCAAAGGTGTATTGGATGAGAAAACCTAAATAAAACAAAAATGAAGTGAGTGCTTTCAGCATCAGCAGCTATGCGCTACAGGTAACCAAATAAATAAAAAACCTCAGTCAAATCGATAAAAAGTGCAGCGCTATAAATAGGTAACAATTGGTAATAATGTCCATATAGATAAACATTCATAAGGTGACAATCCGTGTGTGTAGAGTGCCCACTATGGCGGTACTTCAGTGCTTGTGCTTTTAAAGGTGGGGTAAGAATACGCACTCACCAGATGCATAAAGATAATACGCATATAAATCAATCATCCGAGGTCCCCTTTAAGGGAGCAGGTTAAGCCAGGTATAGAGATATCCTCCCTCTGGATGGGTGGTGCGTAGGAGTTCAGGCACTTCTGGGTGATATATGGATCCAGTAACCAGAGGTCCCCTTTAAGGGATGAGTGGGTGTAGCAGCCTGTGTAGCAGGAACTCCCTCCTCTGTGCAATATGATGCATCTGGATGCAGAGGTGGGTTCTGGGGAATCAGTGACTCCACAAGGGAGACATAAAGAGATTCAATTGTTTGGTATTTAAACACTTTTTTATTTAATATTTTGCCATGAGTGATCATATCCTTTTCATAGCAACCAAGATGACCACTTCAATTAAATTATCTGCATCTATATTTCTATTATCTTGTTCACACCGTTTTTCTATTTCTTACCGTATCTATTTATTTTTCATAAGAATGAGTGTTATCCATTCTTGTCTATCATAAATAATTTGGTCATTAGGCTTTACCAGGATCGAGATGCATTATTCATAATCGTAACACCTTTTAGTCTCTTCTCGATTTGGTGATATTATTTGTGTGCAGAAAACCTATGGCAAAATGGCGCCCACAGAAGCGCGCACGTGCACCTTTCTACCTTCATTAAGATGGCGCTGGCGGTAATGCGCATGCGCCATCTTCCCTATATACATATATACATGGTGCACGTCGCGGTGGCATTGGCTCTCCTCTGAAGACGTGTGTGGCATGAAACGCACAAGGAGGAGCCAATACGCCGTGACGTCACGCCGCCGGAGCCTCATGAAGGTCCTGCGTCCATCTTACTAAAGGATGGTTAGTCCATTTATTTGCTATACACCCCACAAGTTTTACCTGTTTTTACTTGGATTTTTGGCAACACTTTTAAAATGCTTTTAAATACTACACTATGGGAATCTTCTTTATGTCTCCTTTGTGGAGTCATTGATTCCCCAGAGCCCACCCCTGCATCCAGATCCATCATATTGCACAGAGGAGGGAGTTCCTGCTACACAGGCTGCTACACCCAGTCATCCCTTAAAGGGGACCTCTGGTTACTGGATCCATATATCACCCAGAAGTGCCTGACGCACCACCCATCCAGAGGGAGGATATCTTTATACCTGGCTTAACCTGCTTCCTTAAAGGGGGACCTCGGATGATTGATTTATATGCGTATTATCTTTACGCATCTGGTGAGTGCGTATTCATATCCCACCTTTAAAAGCACAAGCACTGAAGTACCGACATAGTGGGCACTCTACACACGGATTGTCACCTTATGAATGTTTATATGGATGAGAAAACCTGGTGCACAGTTGCCAATTTAAATAATCTGAAAGGTGTTAAATAGTTTTGAAATCAGTTAAATTTCTTCACACCAAACCTGTTAAATCATGCCTTTGGATCTGACACTGTGCATAGTGGTAGTCATGCTGGAAAAAGGCTTTCCCCAAACTTGTCGATGGGCTGGAAGTGCACAATTGTCTATAATGTCTAAGTGTATAAAATGCAGAAAGTAAGGCTGATGGACAGAGTAACCACTGTAATTTTGTTTTATTAATTATTGGCTAGTGATGCCAGCATATATGTATGCTCCACACCAATGCTTTACAGTCATAAAACCTTGGCCTTTACTTACAGGAAAAGAGAGCTGCTTTGAAAGGATAGTGACAAGATTTGGGAAGAAAGTTACCTATGTGGTGATTGGAGATGGTAGGGATGAAGAAATGGCCGCCAAACAGGTATTTAGGCATACTAATTTGCCATGCAATATGTGAAGGTACTACCTTGAGATACTTTGGGAGAGATTTTCTACAACTGGTGCACTCACAATCTGGTGCAGCTGCGCATGGTAGCCAATAAGCTTCTAACCTCCGCTTGTTCAATTAAAGTGGAACTTCACTCCCTCAATCAACATGGATGATTTGCTTTTACCAAAGATTTTATTATGCATGTTGATAGAAACATACAAATCATGACAAATCGTATGATACAAAGCAACAACAAACAATAGAGGATAGGGAAACATCATACAACAAACACAGAAATACACATATAAGACCCATGTTGGGGTCTAGACAACACTGTGTAAGGCAGAGCCGTGAGGCCCACAACCACATTCAGAAATATAAAAGCTACATGCAAGAAGGCAAAAAAAAAAAAAAAAAAAAAAAAAAAAAAGAGAGCCAAGCCTTCATGAGACAATCAGATTTGTTAGAATCAGATTTCTCCCCGAATCCATAGAAAACAGGAAAACAAAAGGAAGGGAGCGGAGAGAAGAAAAAGACAGGCCAGCAAAGAAAAAGAGTTTGCCGGAGGAGGAGCGCTGGGAGATACGATCCCCAGATGAGGGGAAAGGAGAGGCAAAATCCAACACATCATAGATTAGTAAATTTTGTGGTAAAACGAGAAACTGGATGGTAATCCACCCACGGTTGCCAAACTGAGAGAAACTTATGTTTGTCCTCTAACACTGCCGTAAATTTTTAGTTGATAAAGAAACCTTTGGATTCTGGACCTGACCTCAAATTGTAGAGTAGGGGATTTCCAAGAACCGGCAATAGTCTGCTTAGTAGCTATAATAAAGAAATTGACCAATAAGCGGAGTCTGCGAGGTAGGCCACAAAGTGGCTTAAAAAGTAAGGTCTCAATAGGATCTTTAAGGTTAATGGACGTAACTGGATAAATAAGATTATAAACTGGACAGGTCCATCAAATGTGGAGCATCGTATCCTCTAGAGAGCAGTCATAATCTGGTATAAATTTACCTAATTGAGATGGAGTAAAATACTATCTTGAAATTACTTTATAGGAGTTCTCCAATGCCGGTATGCTACGAGAGCATCGGGAAACTCCTTGCCACATAGACCCCCATTCCTGCGCAGTAAGCAGGTAGAGGTTCCGCCATATGATTCCGAATTGATAAATTTGAGAGAAGGCATCTTTAGTGGAAGCCGACGCCTTACAAAGCGATACAAAACCAGAAAAGGTGCAGGGGGAATCCTGTCTACGAATCAAAGGTGCAACAAAATGACGTAATTGCAAATAACGAAACAACGCCGATGGAGGAATAGTATGACTCTCTCGAAGCTGTGCAAACGTACGCACACCTCGACCATGATTAACGAGTGGACCTTCGTAAAACCATGAGTTATCCACCAAGGAAAGGCCATCTTATCAGGCTCCAAAGAACAAAGGTATACTGCTCAGGCAAACAATCCAGATCAATCCCCAACAGGTGCAGGCTCTGGCTCGCCACCAAACACTATGCAACAGGAAGAAGGGTCAGCCACACACCGGAGGATAGAGGAATATAGTGTGTATTTATAAATCCATAGGACACACAAAACACCAGGACATTATTACAGGACCTGTTAACGATCTCGTGCTTAATCATGGTTCGTGTGAAACGCGTTAACAGGTCCTGTATTTATGTCCTTGTGTTTTGTGTGTCCTATGGATTTATAAATACACACTATATTCATCTGTCCGGTGTGCGGCTGACCTTTCTTCCTATTGCATCTTATCAGGATCCCCTGGGGGAAAAAGCAGACAGTTGATTAATTGTAAAAGAGGTAAGTGCAGGGAAAGGAGACCCGCTGAATACTTAACACGAGTCCCAAATTTGTAAAGCGTGAGTGAGGACAGGATTCAACCGTTTAGGCCGCAAGGACGGAGGAAGCCAGGGCAAGGCAGAAGCGGATGTGTGTCCAAAGTATCTATATCAGTGCCCACAAAAGGGTAAGTCTTTGTGAGAAAAAAGCTGAATAGGGGGGAGTAACTTGGGCCGCAATATAGTAATGATGAACGTTCGGAAGACTAAGACCACCCCAAATACGTGGGTGGTTAAGCAACTGTTTAGACAAACAAGGACGTCCCAAAGCACAAACCAACAGTAAAATTTGGCATTGTAGATACAGAGTATATGGGGTGGAATCTGAACAGGGAGCGCCCGAAAAGGATAAAGTAGCTTGGGAAGATAAGTCATTTTAATTGCTTGAGCCCTACCAAACCAGGACAAGGACATGGACTGCCAAGAAGAGAGAGCAACTGGGTTAGCATAGAAAGCAGAGGAGGAATATTCGCCTGATACAACAAATCATAAGAAGGTGTAAGTTTAACTCCCAAGTAAGGAAGAGAGGAGGTCCATTGAAGCAGAAATTGAGATTGAAGGTGTGTCACAAGCAAATGGGGAAGGGGAATGTTCATAGCCACTGATTTAGGATTTACATGTAATCCTGAGAGATGAGCGAAATCAGTCAAAAGCGACAAGAGATTGGGGAGAGAAATAAGTGGAGACAAAAGATACATCAGAATATCGTCCACAAAAAGGGCAATCTTATGATGCAATCCCACGAATTCGAGACCCGAAATGTCTGGATGAAGCCGAATCTGAACAGCAAGGGGTTCAAAGGCCATGATGAAAAGAAGAGGCGATGGAACAACCTTGACGCGTATCACCCTTAATTGAAAACCTAGAGGATTCAACCCCATGATAACGGACCGTAGCTGACTGAATGCTATAAAGTCTATAAATCCACTGAAGAAAATAATTTCCCACACCCTACCTCTGCAAGGCTCTCTGTAAATAAGTCCAGGAAAGAGTATCAAAGGCTTTAGTCATATCCAAGGACAGAAACATAAGATCCCGGGACCGCAGTCGAGCGAAATGACTAAAATAGAGTGTCGGATACTATCGGCCGCCTGACGCCGAGGCACGAAACCCACTTGATCCTTCTCAATTAAGGTAGGGATTAACACATTCAATCTATTGGCAAGAGTTTGTCAGAATTTTCACATCCACATTCAACAGAGAAATAGGGTGATAATTTGACCATGATTGCTGATCTTTCCCCGGTTTGGGAATCATCACAATCTGGGCCTTAGTATTTCTGAAGTCAGGTGACCATCCTGCTTAAGCTGATTGAATACCTGAGCCAAAACAGGAACTACAACATCGCTAAATTTTTTATAAAAGAGAGCCGTAAAGCCATCTGGGCGAGGATTGAATCGTCTCCCGAAGCTCGTCGTGCATAATATCAGCCCAGCATGTCCCTTTGATCGTCTGATATGAGGTAAAGGAGTCTCCCGAAGGAACGTGTCGATGACATCAGCTGGGGCATCCCCCGAACCAGCATAAAGTTTCAAAAGAAGATGAGAAAACTCATTCACTATATACCTGGGATTAGAGGTTCTCAGACATTTCCTAGTTTTCAGAGTATAATGATGTAGTTGAGGAGCAAACGATCGTAATTTATTAGCTAACATAGTCCCTATTTTTGTTCCTGTTCACATAAAACGTCTGACGAGACAATCGCAAATAGCACTCAGTCTTGTCAGTCAGACAAAGATTGAGATCTGTGCGAAGACCATCCACTTTCTGTCGGAGCTCAGCTGTTGGAGATTGCTTAAACAGGTCTGTAACCCTTTCAAGTTTACGTTCCAAAGTCTGCTGGTGTTGGTCCCGTTCCTTGCGCCGTCTAGAAGTCAACTGTATGATATGATCTCTAATAACCGCTTTATATGCTTCCCAAAGAGTAACAGATGAAGAGACCGTACCCAAATTATTGCGAAAGTAATCCAAGGAATGGATCCAAACATCCTCAACTAAAGAGGAAAAAGAGAGAAGGGAATCATTGAGATACCAGGAGGGAGCTCGTGGACACTGAGAGGGAACTAAACATTGCATGATAATGGGATCATGGTCAGACCAAGGAACCGTAGGAATCCTCCTCAAGATTAAATGTGGGAGAAAGAAGGGGCCACAAAAACGTGATCAATACGAGGGTTGGAGAAAAAGGTATAATCTCTAGAAGTGGGATGTAATTCCCGCCAAGCATCGAACAGATTATTGGAACAGAGAATATGCCCAAACTCCACAGAGAGCGGAGAGGAGGCCGCTGAGCCCTCAGGAGATTTATTTAGTTTAGGATTAAAGCTGAGTTCCACCTATAAATAAATAAATAAAAGTAGGCAGCTACAAAAACTGTAGCTGCTGACTTTTAAAATACAGACACTTACCTGTCCCTCAGTCCAGCGCTGATTTCACTGGCTGTCTTCTCTCCCTGGCACCAGCATCTTCAGTGTGGGCACCCGGCTGTGGCACCTTGCGGCTTCACAGCCGGGTGCCCACTTTGCATGCACGAGAAGCGCTGCGCTATGTGAATAGCCCCGTAGACCTGTTGCGTGTCCCAGAAGACTACAGGGAGAGAGGGGGGGGGGGGAGCGGGTACCTGTCAACACACACCCCACCCCCCCCTCCCGCCGCTCCCCAATGGTGCCACTTCTTAATGGGGAGCGAGGGACAAAGGTTTAAAGCGGAACTTCCCCTTTTGGGTGGAGCTCTGCTTTAAGGACTAAATTAGAATCGCCTGACAGCATAAGATATCCTTTCTGATGAGTCTGAAGAACCGACAAAAGATGTGCAAAAAAAGGGTGCATAGTACGTACACATTGTAACCTCCACATCTGTAGAATCCCTACAGCTATCAAGTAACAGCCTTGGGGGTCCGTAACTACTTTGTGCTCTTGAAATGGCAAGGAATTGCGAATCGCCAGAAGAACCCCCCTCTTCTTAAGTGGGGCCGAGGCGAAAAAACTGGGCATAATGACCATCTAAAAAATGGGGGGTATAGGAGGTTGTCAGATGAGTCTCCTGCAGACAAGCTATATCGATTTTTGGAGGAACGAAGATACATAAAAACTTTTTGGTCCATTTCTGCGGTGAGTTAAAACCTTGAACATTAAGTGAAAAGCAAGTGAGAGTCACAGCAGAAAAAAATCACTCTACCATGGGGGGTGCCCCAAAAACTTATTCCCCCCAAGGTGAACAGAAAAAAGAAAGCTAGAAAAGGGGTTACCACCAGAGAAGGAGAGAGTACACTAATGAGAGTGTCGCAAAGGAAAAAACGGAAACGCCCTTAGAATGCCACAAAGCGCAAGAGCGATGCACCTCGTGTATCCAATGGAACCCACGGAGCACAAAAAACCATACCCCACATCAGGGAACAAAAGAGGGTGGCATCATGTAGCACCCCGGACACCCCACCCCCGCACATATCAAACCAAGGAAGAGGAAGACAGCCACATACATAGAAACCAGGCACGTGAGGGTGAAACAGACACAATGACACAATAACAATGGCAACATCTTGTCAAGGGGAGTCGTAAAGTTAACGGGGTCAAAACAATAGCGCCCAGTCACAAACACATGGCAAACAGTGTGTAGATGAGTGGGTGGAACAATTTTTCATACCCCAGCAATGATCGGGAGGGGTCGCCCACTCCCATGAGCTGGCCTCTTGTAACAACAGAGACCGAGAATCAGCTCTATTTCAAGGCTGAGACTATGAGCCCGCCGTCCCATCCGGAAAAGCACATAGACAGGAGGCCAAAATTCAACCGGCGCATACCCAATTGGACTCAATCCGACTATCAACTCGGAGGCCCCCCAAACAAATAAACCGATACAATATCACACAAACCAACCCAAAGGAGGGCTTTGACCGGAATAGGGAGAGAGGGTAAGAGAGAAAAAAAAGATCACAGAAAAAACAAACCTCGACACACCACCATTCCCTCCCCCACTCTCCCAGCACCTGCACTATATCAAAGGGGGATGGCCCACCCAGCTGCCAAATTTCCAAAAAGAGGCCTCTGGGACGGCAAAAAGAGAAACAAACCAACAACAGAAAAACATGCAGGTCAGCCCATTCCAACCGGTTGGAAGTTCTGAGAATGGAGCTGAGCAATGGCTTGGGATCTTCTGTCAGCTTCTCGATTGGAAGACTTTCTCGGGCTGCGAAATAATTAAGGTAGATGTGCTGAGGAATTCGTTGAAGATGTCTGCGAAGTAGAGGTGGGATCTAGGAGAGTAAGCTCTGACAGACAGCATTTAAGATCCGGTGGATTAAAGGCATCATATGTCTCACCCATATACATAAAGGACAGTCTGAAGGGGAACCCCAGCGGTAACAAATATGATTGTCCTGAAGAATTTGGAGATACGGCTTCATAGATCTTCTCTCCAAGATAGTAGTTTGGGAGAGGTCAGAGTAAATCTGATAGGTGTGACTTTGAAACTAAAGAATCTTCACTTCTCTAGCCATTTGCATCACCTGTTCCTTCATCTTACAATAATGAAATTTCAGGATGATGTCCCGAGGTGGGCCTTCAGGTGATCTGCGGCCTAAGGCTCTATGTATCCTATCTATTTCCAAACGATCCACCGGAACATCAGGGATCAGTTCTTGCAATAAGGATAACACCGAGCCATGGAGATCTGTAATGGTCTCAGGCAGGCCCCTGATACGAATATTACTGCGACGAGCTCTATTTTCCACCTCTTCCAATTGATTCTTAAGAGAGTGCAATTCTGCCTGTAGATTTTCTATATCACCCTCATGGCCATCCAGAACTGTAGTAACATCATCCATTCTGTGTTCTAGAAGAACAGCCCTCTCGCCTACATTTCTAAGTTCTTTGAGTAAATCTGCTGATAATTTGCGAGAGATCTCGCCAAGTTCCTCGCGAACAATCCCTCAAATCTTACTCAACTGAACCGAATCTTGATCTGTGCGGGACGGCTGCAAAGCAGAGGGGAACTGTAAAGGGCTGTCAACTGAATCCTCCGAGTCTCCCAACTACTACTGCCTCGTGGTCTCATCTGCAAAGGGGGCCGACGCCATCTTGGAAGGGAGCCGGTGTTGTGGCTTAGGATCAGCCTGCTGCTTGGACTGGAACTGATCTGGAGGAGCCATGGCCACCGATCACTCCCCCACACACTCCGATACCCACAGAGACCAGCAGGGACTCGATTGGCTCCTTCTAGCCTGAGGGAGAGGAGGCGAAGTGTCCGGGGTGAGCAGAGCTAGCGTAAATCGTGGCCATCTTGGGTCGTTCCGCGCATTCGCCCCCCAACATGGACTATTTTCAATCCTTATGCTGATAGCATTAGTGAATAATAGACTGGAAAGTATATCATATTTACTTGTGTTAAACATTTCTTTAGTTACTTCCTGGTTTCCATGCTAAGGCAAATGATGTCATAGATCCCAGGAGCCTTCAGGAGGGAAGGGAGAGTTCTCTGCTCAGCCAATGCCTGAGCTAAGGGCAGATGGGTTCCAGGAAGTAAATGCTACATGAATCATCTGCCCTTACTCAAGATGGCCACGTCCCGAAATACCAGGGGGTGTTTTTTTAAAAGTAATTATCAGCAAAATAAAACATGGGTGAGTTTGCTTTGAATATTAACAAGGAATTAAATAGCATTTTTGCTTTTTAGTGCTCAGATACAGTGCAGTTCCACTTTAAGCTTTGGCAATAAAACCTGAAAGTTGATTAGTTTCTAGGTAAAGTTGCACCAGATTTGGCATGCTCCAGCTTTAGTAAATAATCCCCTTTCATGCCCAAGTGTTCTTCAGGAATTTTACTAGAACTTTGTCATTCTTTAAACTCTTATAAATGTAAATGTATTAAACCTACCCCTGTAAATCATGTTATTGTTTCATACAGTATGCTCATTTATCATTACTTTATACTTCGTAACAAATACCCTCCTGTATTTGTTTCCCAGCCAGGGTTCTGTAACAACTAAATCCGAAACAATATGTACTTTGTTTTCAATCTGTTCCGTCAGCACCTCCACTACAACCAACAAAGGCAGTTTTCATCCTGAACTAATGCTAAGCATATTCAATATGATTAGAAGGGAGTGACTTCTAAGGGCATAAAAATAGATACGCAAAGTGGTAAAGGTACAATATTTTTTTTTATTTTTTTTTTTGAGTGATTTTACAAATACATCACTCTCATAATATAGCAGGACCAAATACAATAGTTTACAATCCTTGAGAAAGGTATAATCACACATTTGTATCCATAATAGTTAACTATCACATCCGTACTAGTGGTGCTAACCCCATACAGACGTCCTTATGCATTTTACAGAACAAGGTCTGTTTCTTGTATAATTACTATAAATTGAGACTAAAAAAATGTATATCTTCGACCTCTGTAGACAGGAAAATGGTGACAAATTAAGGTGGCCAGTTTTGAATCGCATAAGGCTTTATGTCCTTTAGATGGCTTGTCTGCAGAGCTGGCCTGTTTGCTAAACTACGCTCCTATGTGCTTGACAATGGACACTCCTTTGCTCATGTGGCAGTATATAAAACTTTTGTGTACACACAGTGGGGTTTATTTACTAAAGCTGGTGAGTGAAAAATCAGGCTCACTTCTGCATAGAAACCAACCAGCTTCTAACTTCAGCTGTTCAATTAAGATTTGGAAGCTGATTGGTTTCTATGCAGAAGTGAGCCTGATTTTGCACTCTCCAGCTTTAGTAAATAAACCCCACTGTGTTGAAGGTATTGGAGGACATCAGTAATGGAAAAACAAGGCGGACTCGCTCTCTGGACTCTGCCCCCTTCCCCTGAAGGTCCTTTTCAAATTGGATTCACACTTGAATGTATGATCCCCCCGATGGCTGAAATCCGTACTGCTGGATGCAGTTAACCTGATGTGTTTACACACTGCTGGAGAGTGGTAACCTGCCCTGGATGGATGACACCTGGTGACGCACCCCCACCTGACGACTTCATCCGTATGCAGAGTTCCTATCCCCAGAGCACCTAGGAGTAGGTCTTATATACTCCAACGCACAATCATTTGTGCTATCTGGTTAGTGCATTGTATGCTTACTCTTCACAGCCACGGCAGTCACAAAAGTTATTTGGTTACTCATTGCATCACTATTGTCACGCTGCACCTTATGAACTATACCTAAGACTGATCCTTTGGTGTTTTATTAACATATTTGTCCATCATCTGCATTGTAAAGCGCCGCATTCTAACTGTTTGCATATTTTGGAGGATTTGAGGTTTTTCCCCTTCTATGCTGGCTGCTCCCTTTTCCTATACTACCCAGCGCTCATATGTTATCGTTTGTATTATCAGTAATTTGCTGTTTTAGTGCCAATACAAATGTACATACACTATTATTTATTTATTTCAGGTATTTATATAGCGCCGTCAATTTGCGCAGTGCTTTACATATATATATATATATATATATATATATATATATATATATATTGTGCATTCACATCAGTCCAATCTAAGGTCCCTAACTCACATTCATACATACACATACTAGGGCCATATTAGACAGGATCCAATTCACCTACCAACATGTCTTTTTTGGAGTGTGGGAGGAAACCAGAGGACCCGGAGGAAACCCATGCAGGCACAGGAAGAACATACAAACTCCAGACAGGTGGTGCCGTGGCTGGGATTCGAACCAACAACCCTACTACTGCCAGGCGGAAGTGATAACCATTTAGCCACTGTGCTGCCTACTAAACATTCACAAAAATATATTGTACTAATGGTACAGTTGTCCTTTGAAGTGTTCCTATAGGAGAAAAGTCTATTTATGTCTAAACCAACAAGTTTTGATTTTACTTAATTTGTGTCCATTTAAAGTTGGGCTATCATTTGGGCAATCTCTGAGTTCATGTATTTTATTCTTACAGCACAATATGCCTTTTTGGAGAATCGCAAACCACAATGACCTCATCTCTCTACATCAGGCACTGGAGCTGGACTTCTTGTGAGAAATGCTGAATAACCATGTTTTGTATGCAACCCCATTAGATCAGCAGGTGCCTGACAAACAAAAGCTTAGGTGGAGACCTGAGGAAGAGATGTTAGATCTGGTAAACCTGCATCTACCCTGAACTTTCCAAGAGGGAGACGCTTTCAGTTTTGTCCTTCATGGAGGATAAACCATTTCGACCATTTCAACTATCCAGTCCTGCAGAATACCTTGTTTAGCTTTCACATCCCACCTACCTCTCATTTACTTGCCAGAGAGTTTCTTCAGTTTTTTTTGGTAAATAACTCTCCCACTCCCACCTACCTCCTCTTGTACGGACTGTCTTCAGTTTCACTCGAGCCCAACTTCTGGTTAGTTGTAGGCTGTTCCTCTTGTGCCAGGAAATACAATTAATAATGCTATGAGCACATAAGGAGCAGCTAAGCTTATATAGGATGAGCCATAACATGTAGCATTGGATCCTAATAATGTACTGCATCTTGATGTGAATGGAGTAGTCAAGACCTTCTCCTAAGGATGGATGGCTTCTGCATCAAACTTTAACTGTCCTCTCCTTTAATCAGAGTATGAACAGATGGGTCAGTGTACATTTTTTTGATTTTTTTTTTTTTTTTTTTTTTTACAGTTTCACAAGTCATAATGGCTTGCCTTTAATATTGTCTCATTACCATTCTGGAACTCTTCGTGAAATACCTCACGGGAGGGGAAGAAAGGCCTCCATTATTATACCTTTTTGGATCTATAACTTATTAAAGAAGTTTTTTTCCTTGATATGTTTCCCATGTCTGTATTTTATCCCTAGCAGGTGTTTGGAACAGATACTGTCATATTGGGAGATGCTGTTTGTGGTAATGCAGTGCAAACACACTCTTTAATTGAATACATGAATAAAAGATAATCACATATTTGATATTAAAGGCAAGTGCTGCAATCTCCTCAATCATTTGTTCAAAGCATTTGCTCACCATAATGTTACAGAAACTTTTGTTCAAAATGTACAACCATCACAACCCTTCCCATGTCTAAAAATTAAAATATCCTATACAGTTTATACAGTGTGTGTTTGTGTATGTATATATATATATATATATATATATATATATATATATATGTGTATATTTATGTATATATGTGTATATATATATATAGATGGATGGATACAGTGATGGAAATAAGTATTTGATCCCCTGCTGATTTTGAATGTTTGCCCGCTCACAAAGAAGTGATCAGTCTAAAAATCGAAGGTAGGTGTATTGTAACACTGAGAGTCAGAATAGCAACAAACAATTCAAAAGAAATGCATGTCTAACAAATTATTTACTGATTTGCATGTTCATGAGGGAAATAAGTATTTGATCCCCTATCATTCAGCAGGATTTCTGGCTACCAGGTGTCTTTCATACAGGTAACAAGCTGAGATTAGAAGCAGTCTCTTAAAGGGAGTGCTGCTAATCTCATTTTGTGACCTGTATAAAAGACACCTGTCCACTGGAGCAATCAAACAATCAGATTCCAAACTCTCCACAATGGCAAAGACCAAAGAGCTGTCCAAGGATGTCAGGGACAAGATTGCAGACCTACACACGGCTGGACTGGGCTACAAAACTATTGCCAAGCAGCTTGGCAAGAAGGTGACAACAGTTGGTGCAATCATTCGCAAATGGAAGAAACACAAAACAGCTGTCAGTCTCCCTAGGTCTGGTGCACCATGCAAGATCTCACCTTGTGGAGTGTCAATGATCATGAGAACAGTGCGGAATCATCCCAAAACTACACGTGAAGATCTTGTCAATGATCTCCAAGCAGCTGGGACTACAGTCACCAAGAAAACAATTTGTAACACACTACGCCGACAAGGATTGAAATCCTGCATTGCCCGTATGGTCCCTCTGCTCAGGAAAGAACATGTCCAGGCCCTTCTGAAGTTTGCCACTGAACATTTGAATGATGCAGAGGAGGACTGGTTGAAAGTGTTGTGGTCAGATGAGACCAAAATCGAGCCCTTTGGCATCAACTCAACTGGCCATGTTTGGAGGAGGAGGAATGCTGCCTATGACCCCAAGAACACCATCCCAACTGTCAAACGTGGTGGAAACATTCTGCTTTGGGGGAGTTTTTTTGCTAAGGGGACAGGACAACTGCACCGCATCAAAGGGACGATGGACGGGGCAATGTACCTTCAAATCTTGGGTGAGAACCTTCTTCCCTCAGGCAGGGCATTGAAAATGGGTCATGGATAGGTGTTCGAGCATGACAATGACCCAAAACACATGGCCAAGGCAACAAAGGAGTGGCTCAAGAAGAAGCACATTAAGGTCCTAGAGTGGCCTAGCCAGTCTCCAGACCTTAATCCGATTGAAAATCTGTGGAGGGAGCTGAAAGGTCATGTTGCCAAACATCAGCCACCAAACCTAAAAGACTTGGAGAGGATCTGCCAAGAGGAGTGGGCCAAAATCCCTCCTGAGATGTGTGCAAACCTGGTGGCCAACTACAGCGAACGTCTGACCTTTGTGATTACCAACAAGGGATTTGCCACCAAGTACTAAGTCATGTTTTGTGAAGGGAATCAAATACTTATTTCCCTCATGAACATGCAAATCAGTGCATAGCTTGTTAGACATGCATTTCTTTTGAATTTTGAGTTGCTATTCTGTCTCTCAGTGTTACAATACACCTACCATTTGATTTTTAGACTGATCATTTCTTTGTGAGTGGGCAAACATTCAAAATCAGCAGGGGATCAAATACTTATTTCTTTCACTGTGCATGTATGTGTGTGTGTGTGTGTGTGTGTGTGTATGTATGTATGTGTGTATATATATATATGTGTGTGTGTGTGTGTATGTATATATATATATATATATATATATATATTTGTATGTACACACACACGGGACTGGCTTTACACACACATGAACTTTATTGGTGTCTTAGTCCGTAGGGTTCAGCATTGAGTTGGCCCACCCTTTGCAGCTAGAACAAATTCAACCCTTTTGGAAAGGCTGTCCACAACGTTTAGGAGTGTGTCTGTGGGAATGTTTGACCATTCTTTCAGAAGGGCATGTGTGAGGTCAGGCACTGATGTCGGTCGAGAAGGCCTGGCTCGCAGTCTCCGCTGTAATTCACCCTAAAGGTGTTCTATCAGGTTGCAGAGAGTTGGCAACTTCTGCACACTATGCGCTGAACCTGCTCTGTCATTTTATGTGGCCTAGCACTTCGTGGTTCACTTCTGTTGTTCCCAGTTGCTTCCACTTTGTTATAATACCACTAACAGTTTAGCGTGGAATATTTAGTAGCAAGGAAATTTCATGGATGAACTTATTGCACAGGTGGCAACCTATCACGGTACCACACTTGAATTCACTGAACTCCTGAGAGCGACCCATTTTTTCAAAAATGTTTGTAGAAGCAGTCTGCATGCCTAGGTGCTTGATTTTATACACCTGTGGCCATGGAAGTGATTGGAACTCCTGAATGCAAATATTTGGAGGGGTGTCCCAATACCTTTAGCAATATAGTACACACACCCCCTTAATGACCAGGCTTTTTTTTTGCTACTTGGCGCTGCACTAATTCAACTGATAATTGTGCGGTCATGCAATGCTGTACCCAAACGAAATGTACGTCCTTTTTTCACACAAATAGAGCTTTCTTTTGGTGGTATTTGATCACCTGTGCGCTTTTTATTTTTTGTGCTATAAACAAAAACTTTTTTAGAAAAAATTTTTTTTTTTTTAAACATTTTCTCATTTCTGTCATAAATATCTAAAAAAACTAAAATTTTGTCATAAAGTTGGGCCAAAATGTATTTGTTACATGTTTTTGGTAAAAAAAAAAAATCCCAATAAGTGAATATTGATTGCTTTGTGTGAAAGTTATAGCATCTACAAACTATGGTATAGATCAGGGGTGGGCAACTGTGGCCCTCCAGCTGTTGGTGAACAACTCCCATCATGCCTCTGCCTTTGGGAGTCATGTTTGTCACTGTCAGTTTTGCAATGCCTCATGGGACTTGTAGTTCTACAACAGCTGGAGGGCCACAGTTGCCCACCCCTGGTATAGATAATGGAATTTACACAGCTTTTACTTTCTGACTGCCTATCACATTTCTTGAGGTGCTGAAATACCAGGATAGTACAAACACCCCCAAATGACCCCTTTTTGGAATGTAGACACCCTAAGCTATCTGCTGAGAGGCATATTGAGTCCATGGAAGATTTATTTTGTTTCCACAAGTTTGTGGAAAATGACAAACTTTTTTTCTTTACACAAAGTTGTCATTTAAATTATATATTTCTCGCACAAGCCATGGGTATATGTGGAATTGCACCCCAAAATACATTCTGCTACTTCTGCTGAGTATGGGCATACCACATGTGAGAGACTTTTTGGGAGCCTAGCCACATACGGGAGCCTGAAATCTAATGACCACTTTGAAAACCTGAAGGTGCGTAACTTCCTCATTCCACGTCCTCACTACTTATCACAGTTTCGGAGGCCCTGAAATGCCATGATAGCACCAAACCCCCCAAATGACCCCTTTTTGGAAAGTAGACACCCTAAGGAATTTAAAAAGAGGCATGGTGAGTATTTTGCAGATGTAATTTTTTCTCACAAGGTTTTGAAATATAAGAAAAGAAAAAAAATGTTTTTTCTTCATTTTCCAAAAACTTGTAGCAACAAACAAGATCTGCAAAATACCATGCTTCAGCAGAGAGATCCTTTTTCTTCCCTATTTTGCTTGAAAATGGTGCTCTGCTTAATAATGTGGAACACCCTCCTTTAGTAGTTTTTCCTTAAATTGGGCTCACCTGCCAATCTAATTATCTCAATGTATCCGAGATTGTTTTCAGTGATCAAAAGAGCCCTGAGACACAAGGCCATCCATGAGTTAAACTGAAAACCAAAATATTTAATCTTTGTGACACTTAAATAGAATTTGCATAATAATTTGGAACAGGGTGTAGATCTCTCCTCTGCCCTTACATTATCTAATCA